AGGGGACCCAGTGCTCCTTTAGCAACTTTTCAACATTGTATGTGTTTGGAAATCAGTAAAATTTTTATTTTTTTGGAAAGGGCAAGGCCATAGGTCTTTTTATGTCCTGTTACTGATTGAACGAAACAGATCACAGACCTGGCAGCTTAAGGACTGAATCAAATTCAACCGAGCCCGAGGTATCAGCCAAGCCAACTAAGTGACATGTATTTAGCTCGTATTTACGTTTTAGAATCTTCTTCAGTTCATCGAAGCGTTGGACTGTTTATACGTGAACATTTGAAGCTCCTTGTCCACTTGGTTTACTAAGACGAATACAAGTACGGCGATGGAGAAAGTCCCTGGAAATGGCGAGATTTCCTCTTTTCAAAGATTTTTCCCATTTTGGCGTTAAGTGATGTTCTCTGTGAAATTTTCTGTGTAATTTTAGAGCTAATGAATGGAGAGTTGGTTAACGGAACTTTGATGACGTAGACCAAAAAGCGGTCAGTTAGATGTAAATCTCACGTCAGCACGGGTAATGAAATGAGTTGCCCCAAAATTTTATTACTGATTTTGCAAGTCCAGTGATGGCTTTCACTGCCCACGTAGGAACTATGATCAGAAGTGGTTGGTCATTGGAGATATTGGGCTTTAAAATACCCTTATGTTTGGACTTTGTCAAAACCCGAAAACGTCGTCTCTACTTAAGAGAGAGGTTAGGGAAGAAATGATATGAAAAATTAAAAACAGTTTAATGCTCTTAAAGGCTGGTAGATATAGAACACAACCCAACTTTCAACTTCAACTTTACTTTATTTAGCACTCAGGTTTTAGTTACAATATTAACATCAAAAAACAGGAAAGGATACAGGTGTATAAAATTAAAGGTAACAGTGTTCCATTGTTCGTGCATGGAGGCTAAGAGGACCGCGTGGTTATTGAGTCAGCCTCCATCTCTTTTGGATTCACATAGAAGAAACTAGGAGTAGAGGAATTGTGGAAGACTTACGTTTGAGATAACTTGAATGATGGATAGTTTCAGCACTTTAACCCAGTTAATTACCTCAGTTAATTGAATTTGGAGATGGCTTTTCGGTTTGTCACAGCAGCAATGCAAAGTTAGTTAATATGTTATGTAAAAATGTCAGAGATGGGGTTTTTCCCAGGGGAACCCTATATCTCCCAGGGAATAAAAGATTTTTACCTACTATTTTTACATATTTGTTAACTCATGATGATACTTAGCATTTGAGCCAAGTTTGAGCGAAATCGGGGATTTGAACATTATCAGCCCCTGCCCGGTTTCCTGTGGACACGCTCTTCAAAGCTCAACTGCACTGTCCTGTAATAAGTGAGAAGTGGTAAAAAGGTATGCATATAAACAACATAAACTTGAGATCCTTCATTTTGAATTTAAGCTCAAAGTTTTTCACCAGAGGATTTTTTCGTGGCCACCAAAATATCAGTCATCGTTTTCTTTCACTATTTCCACTGAGCCAGACGTTTCTTCATCATTACTCAAGCCAATGGCCATAAATACACGGATCATCGATACCCAATCACATAAATGGTTATACAGAGTATCGTGTATACTAGCATTTCTATTTCACCTCACCATCACCCCTAAATGAAACATAAGGACGTGGGATTGAAGAAAGTGTTGTTAAACTAGAGAAGTGCCTGATCGTGGAACAAATTCTCTAGGAGAACATGCACTCTGATGCCAGGGTGTAAAGAGTTCAGTAGTTTCCTAATGTTTGGGCAGGCAGACGTTCATTGGAAGAGGGCAACAACTTTCCTGTAATTGACTGCGCAGGAGACGATAATTAGAGATAATTACTTGTGCGCGTTACAACTTGGCTAACGATTTTTGATATTAATTCTCACAGCATCGAATCAGACTAGTATTATGCCATTCAAGCTGGAACCGATGTTGCCAGACACACGCGACAAGTTTTTCCGTTACAATGGATCTTTAACCACTCCCACGTGTGATGAGAGCGTCACCTGGACAGTCTTCAAAGACAGCGTCAAAATATCAGAGACTCAGGTGTGTTATTTGATTTTGATTCTTTGACCGCTACGAGTGGCGACGCCAAGTGGAACGACATTGTTTAACTTTGTAAATATTTGTGAACATTCGATTCAGTAATTTATTGAACTCTC